AACAAATATTCTACTATAACGCATGCGTATAATGTAACATAATGTCGGACAAATTAAAAGAAATTATCACTTATCTATAGATTCAAACAGCATCTGATTCAATTTAATTAATCACCTTGACTTCTTCTCTATTTATTCGAAATCCTAATACTTTAACCCAAAAAGTAAGACATTATTTACCTAATCAAATACATCAGAACATTTAATAAATATCCGTTCTGTAGTCTTAAAGTACATTACAATAACGTTTATAGCAAGAACCTTACACGAGAGTTTATGAATGTAATTAAAAAGTTAAACCTGGGTTTAAATCCCAGGTGAGTCATTAAAAAATACACTAATATACTAAATAATTATCATATAAGATACTAAACGTATAAGGTTGATGCAGAGCAGATGCAAGGAACGGATAATCAAGATTAACATACACATAAAAATATGGTTTTTCGCCTAATGATAGTAGTGGAGAAATAGAATAAAAAAGGTTAACAAAAGATGGATTATTGCTTAAAATACCACGATAGTGGGTAGAACCAGACTAAAGATTATAAGTTAACATACATAATTTAAATGATAAGCTTTGATGACCACTCATTTGTTTTTGGAATGAAAGTATCCATCATAGCATCAAGTTGAAAACAATATTGATATAATAAACTCCTATTCTATAATAACGGATGACATTTGTTATAATTTATATAAAACAAATCAGAAACATTAAGGAAAATAATGTATTATGTTTTTTGGTCCCGGTTCATAAATTATTGGGAAACTGTAGTCTTTTATCTAGTTTGTAACGCTGTTTTAAAATTTTACAAGTTTGCCCTCTTTGTAATTTAATTAAAATTTCAAAATTTCCCCGGAAATATTTTACGTATTTTTCAAAACAATTTAGAGCAAACACGCCATAATTTTACAGACATTGACCTGTCCGAAACAGGCGTAATATAGTCTTTACAAACTGTTTTATTGTAAACATCGGGTATAAAAGTTTTCTATCACCTCTTTAACCTATCTCATAAAACCCTACCCTTTTCAGGAAAAACCGCTAATGGTAGTTATTTCTATTTACCGTGAATCAAAAAGCGCTTAACATCATTGGCGAAACAATAGAGGGAGATTACCCCTTTGGATTTAGGAGACTGGGTAGTATTATTTAAACAATTTACTTTTAATTCATTTTTTTTAAAATTTATCACACACACAAAAAACATAAACATGTTTTTGGGATATTTTCAGATTTAAAACAATCTGCGATATTTATTGAAAGAACTGAACAACCAGGTTACTTTAAATTTTATGCCCAAATTTGATCACTTTTTGTCAAAACAGTTCAAAACATATGACAAACAAAAAGTATCTTTTTATAAAGAGATACTTTGTCGAAGTAACACTGATTAACTTGCATAATGTTAGTTCTTTGTTTTCCATGCAAAGTCATGTAGAATAGTTAGCATAACAATGAAATAATAACTTCTTGTAGGGTTTATTTTGTTGAATAAAACAACATTTCAAGATGTATGTCGTTTTTTTTTTTTTGTAAATGAACTCAAGTTCTAGCACCATTATCTACGCAGTCGGTAGGCACTGACTTTAATAAATACTAAAAAGTAAAATTAATATGCAAAAATATGAAAAAAAAATACTTTAAAATTAAAATTATACATCAATAATCCATATAATGTAAAAGACAAAAATCATAAGGGAAAGGAAAAACCCTTTAAAATTTCTGTTTAAATTTCCTTTTTTTTTGGGAAAAAATTTAAAAATTCAGTTTTTTTTTTTGGTTAAAAAAATTCAAAAAAGTTTTTTCAAAAAAATTGAACTGTTTAAATTTAAAAAATTTTAAAAAGGCGATCTGAATGCCCTCCCAAAATTTTTTTGGGGGAAATTTTTGGTTTAAAAAACAGAACTTTTATTTGAAAAATTTTTAAAAAAGAACTTTTTAAATGTCCCTTTTTTAGAGCTTTCCCCTTTTAACATTTATTTTTAAAAATGGCAAAAAAAATATCCTTAACTTTTTAAATTTAAAGAAAGCCAATGGGGGATTCCCAAATTTAAAATTTTGTAATTTTAAAAAGTCAAACTGATTTTAGCTGGAAAAATATACTCGTCTGAAGTAAAACTGGTTAATTTGCATATATATTATGTTATTATAATAATTTCTAGTAGCTAAGAAAAATACATTTTGTAAACATAGACATTGAATGGAAGCATATTGTATTTCATGTCTCTTCAAAATATTTTACAGTATCGATTTGGGTGCCCCTATTACTTGTTATATTGGCAGTTTAATTCAAAGAATCACTAGCTAAGATACAAATTAAAGTATTCAGCAAACAAATCACACAAGCAAAAGGCTTGTTTTTATTCAAAATGTTTGAAATGTGTATAAAAAAGGTTGCCCTACCCCAATCATTTTAAACACTTGTTTGGCCATTTTCCTACTTTGAGAGCCTTTTTTAACATAAAATATACTAAGATTAAGGGCTGTTTTTAAAGTTTGTCATAATTTGTATAGGTATATTGTTTGATCTGTTAAACATAAAATACTTTTACCTTGCAGATAAATCTTATTAGACTTTGAAAATATCACATTTCTTAATAAATTTGCATTTTCTATCGAATACATATAATAAGTATATAATTGAAAGTAAACACTAACGTCTTATTTCTTCCCATGTGGGCTTTGAGAGATACTTAAATAATGTTTAAAAAGAAATAAAAGAAAAAAAAATGTTGACCCTTCTGGGGATTGAACCCGTCCTCCTCAGATTCAATACAGTTGACGGTAATTTTAGTCTGTTTGAATATTTTTTAAAGCGGAGGTAATGCATTAGTGGGTCATACCTTAAACGTTTGACACGGAATATCTGACAACTGAACAATGTACGAAATAAATAATATAAAAATCATACACACACAAAATACATGAATATGATTTTTCTATCATTATCCATTATCCTGTTGTTACAATAGATACCCCCAAACTCCCTCCCCCCGGAAAGTTAAGACACTCTACCGACATGCACTACTTTTATCCCCGACAGACAGTGCGGTAACTGGAGTAACTACAGGTAGCTAATACCTGCAATCCACTGAATGCACTTTGCATTTATGGGTAAAAAAGGTCTCTACACTATGATACAATTTATTTTATTCTTGTTAGTTACTTTATAAAGATTTTGGTGTCAATCCCAATTAGCGGACATTAACGACATAATCATACAGTAAACGGTTGCATATTGTATCATAGTTTTGAGACGTTTTTTGTTGAAAAAAGATCTAATTATGTCAAAGTTAAATCGTATACATATACATGAACAGTACGTTAACAATAGCGCAGGCTTTAATTATCCGTACTCAAGTTACCGCTTTTTATGTTGGGAATAGAAGTAGAGCATGCTCTTCGATTGTCTCATTTTTTATTTACTTATTTTGACGACAGGGAAAGGGATAACGATAGAAAATGTCATATTTAGATGCTCCTACATTGGCTTCTTTTTTCTGGGGGTTTCATATTGTGACGACATGGAACGTGTTTTTAGTTTTTGCCTAGATGATACAAAAGAGGCAAAAACATTAAAGCACTGCAATAAGGCTTCGCCCCTCGTACAAATCAGAAAGCCTCAAGTTTCGGTGCTCTTTCTAATACTTGTTGCCTCGATATCACGTGATAACACCAGTTGTCCTTCTCCGATCATTCTCTAGAACATTTCACCTTCTTCTAAATAAAATGTATAGCCAACGCAATAACGAAAGCTGACTAGTTGAAACCGTTTGTACGGCAAGGTCTGTCAAACTGTACTGTTTTATTGTAATCACCACGGTTATAAAGAAATTTTCTCTGCTCAAACTCAGATATTTGATTGGTCAAAAACCGGCTCATAATATGCACTGACCAATAAAAATCCTGAGCTTTGAGACTGACCTCAGAAAAAAGTTTTATAACCTCAATGATGGTATATAGTTTCCAGTAAGGTATCTTGAAAGATAATGACCTCAATATTCTTATTACCATGACCAACCTCCAGGAAGCATGATGTTTTGGCAGACATAAATGTTTGAAGAGGACAGACGAACGGCTGATGGACAATGGACAATAACTACACCTTTATACGACCGCTTTTAAAAAGATACTTAGTAATAAAATTTATTTATTTAATCTTAGGCCTTCTATAGGCAACAAAGGACTTGCCTTTTAAGTTTAATTGTCATGTTACGCTTGAGAAAGTTTTCTATTTGGCAATTTTCTGATGAAATTATTTTATGGTGTCACAAATTTCTGCAAGCGTATTGGGAAACATACCGGAGGTATAGCCACTGGAGTCGGAAACATTCAGAAATCCTAAATTTGAAAAGTTGAAACCGTGTATTCATAGAGGAAAAATCGTGAAGTTCAGAACGCAAATTCGCAAGGTTGAATTCGTCCAGCTAATTTCGTGTATTCATAAAGTTAAAATCGTGAATGCGTAAAATCCATATTTAAATCGCGAGTTCTCGTAGTTAAAATTGTAAATTCGTGAAGTTGAGATGACCCCACCGGACTTTCGTATTTTTTTCTATCGTTTATTTATACAGGTATTATTTTAAGACATCTTCTCTAGCCAAAGGCAAACTATTCGTCAGGTTACATTGTTATGTGTTATCATGATAATCGTCGAATGAAATCAGACACAACATACCAGACTGTCATTCTTGGTATTGAAAAAATATACAATGTACAATGTACTTCATGTACTTGATATTCATAAAAATATCCATAATATATAACAAATACAAAAACAATAAATTATATTAGACACTCATTCACGTTTTTATTCATTTATTTTATTTTATTTATTGATTTTTATTATATTTTTTCAATTTATTTCATTTTTATTTTATTTTATTTTATTTCATTTATTTTATTTTGTTATTTGACGCGTTTCAATGCATCTGCACCAATGCATTACATGTACAATCCGGTGAAACGTTTTTCGGTTGATGTTAGTGTCATTTGCTTTATCATGTCTTAAAATTTATGACAGTCACGCGGTAAGGTTTACCTGTAGGTATGTAAATAGAGAGGATACAATTTAGGTTTGTTTATCTAAACCCTATATTACTGTCACAGTAGTAGTGTTGTTTGATCTTTAAAATCGCGATAAGTTGGACTTCGCGATACAAAAAAAAGTTTTGGATAGGCTTTGGGGGTAGTGGGCCGTGTAGGGTTTTTTTATTTAAGAAAAAAGTGTGTTATTTAATGATAGGCTATTTTAGGGTCTTCGAGACGGAAGATTCATATTATGCTACGGAATTAAATTTAAAAGGACTTGATTGTAAAGTTGGACTAGGCGGGTAACGTATACATTGTTTTAATTTAGATCTATATAAACAGTTACTGTACTTTGTATCGATCAAGATATGATCACTGTGATTTTGATGGTACACAATGTATGAAAAGTCATGCATATTTAGCATCTAACGGGATATATATTTTTCATAATAATTCATAAACTTTAAATAATAACAACAAATTTTAACGATAAAGTGAATAACCTTTCGATGTATATGTATAAATGAAATTTAAAATGAATTTCCGCTTGAATAATTATAGAATCATGTAAATATTTAAACATACTTTTTAACTTAAATTTACAGATTGTAAAGAGAGGTATACCAGTGTATACGATGAATTTACCTTATTTAAAACCACCTGTTTAAGAATGTTGTTTTATTATTAACAACTAAAACTAACTTGTTTTAACCGGTTCGTGATTAATCATTCATTAACAGGTACAAGTATTGCTCGACAAAGTACATTTATACACCGTCAGCTGAGGATCTCATTATCATAATAAACTTATATTGATAACAGAATGTATAAAATGACTCAATTGAATGTTAACGTACATGTTTATGTCAGAATCAAGTCAAGCGTGTATTTTTAACAAAATCTTTGAAATCGCGTCCCTGAACAAGTATGAACTTTCAATTTATGTGCTTAAATCTACTGAGTTTTGAAATTATTAAAATAACTTATTTATGGATGTGAATATATATGCTAAGTTAGGGACACTGTTCAATACATTAACATATTTAAACAAACGTTTAAAGATCGTGTAACTCATTTGTTATGGTCCGGTGCTCAAATGAAGATTTATCAATATTATATGTTCAAAAAAGGAATTATTTGCAAAGACATTACCGACTTAACATTTTATGTAAATAAAGGGAGGTAATTAGAAATCTATTTACGATAACGTATAAGCCAATTTTTTCAATGATTGTGTACACGATGTATTTACCTCTTAAAAACTGGTTTAAGAGTGTTTTTGTTTTATTATTAACAACTAAAACCAACTTGTTTTAACCGGTTCGTGATTAACCGGTACAACTTGATATATAAAAGATCTGTCTAAAATCTTATCAAGATATCGTCTTAAATTGCTTAAATAAGCCCCCACCCCATCCAATTTTTTTTTCAGTTATTCGACTGAAGAGCGTACATTAAGTCATTGGGCTAAAACTGTATATTATAATAGAGTTATAATATTATAATATAACTGAGTTTTCTGTGTTAAACTTTACTGATGGTATAAATCAATATGAAAAGGCTCACAGTGATTGGTCATTGCTTATTATACAAAACAAGATATTTTTAAATCATATAATCAATGTGTTTCATACAATGAAGTAAAAAATGAGTCTTTGAGGTTTAAGTCGCTCATTTCAACAGTGCTTAAAATGAATTATTTTGTATGTTATAATCATTACGTTAAATCCTTAAAAAAAAGGTTAAACAACATACATTATACACACGATATATATAGGCAATAGTTTAGTTAGTTATATTTAAAAGTAACAAATTCATAGCACAAATATCAATAAATTCATAAAAGTTTTCAATAATTTTACAAGTTGATAAGTCAATATTAAATACATCCGGAAGCATAAATCAATTTTAGCTATGGGGGGGGGGGTCTTATCTTTTATGTATTTTATCGAGGGCAAACTTCTTTTTCCACTTTAATTCTTTTGATCTGAGTATTATATGAAATTATTTATCTAAAAATAACATATTTAATCTCAAGCAAAGCTGGGGGCATTTTAAGAATACCCCGCAGTACTGTGTCATTATTTCAACATAGCTTTATGAAAGATACTCCAATGAGGTCCAAAGTTCTAAGCCAAAACATTTGAAATTCTTACATAGACCATCTTTAAACAAGAATAGATGCAATATATAAAGAAGAATTATCGTCAGATGTAAATTGAAAATCGTATGTTTTTGCCTTTTTAGCCCAATTTGAGTGAAAATAATAGCAACGCTTTTTAAATTTTTCGTTGTTCACAATTAGAAAAAAAAAACTTCAGGAAAAAATGTTGTGAGCGAATGATCAGAAATTTTGCATACAAATTATTAGTCTAGACCTACATCAAAAGCATTACCTATCTCGAAAAAAATATTTTTAGTCCCGTCATCTCAAAAATTCACAGTTGAGTCCCTTTAAAGTTAATGACAGATTCGTTCTAAATACCATATGATGACACGAGACGACATTAATGTAGTAGATATGACCTCATATATGTGATATCAGTACAATATGACCTCCTTTATCTGTGTACTGTTTTATTACCTTAAATTACACCAAAAGCTGTTATCTAATTATCATAAAATTATACGATTATTTCATAATAACGTTACAAAGACCGCGCGATTCTTAAACTGGCTTTATTGTTAATTACAAACCAACAATTCTGATACATCGTCAAATATGCGGTCATTTTATGTAAATAAGTTTATTTATACATGTATTTATAAATCTAATGCTATTTACCCATTTTGATGAATGAGAGAACGACAAACAATGTTGAATGTCTCCAATTGACCATTCGGGCAAGACCGATTTAACCCGCTAGTTTCCGTTAAAGAAGGAGAATCAGAAGAAGAAGAAGAACGTTTATTTCACTTAAACTACAAATTTCTCGTGATTAACATATATACAAGCATACATATATAATGACATGAAAAATACAATGACATGAAAGTAAACATAATAATTATATTGGATGGACAAAACAAAATAGAGATGACACAAATATTAAAGCATAATGGCTATTACATACACAGTAGTATACACAATAAAATTTTCATTAGTTTGGACCTGTTAGGTATACATAAAAGTAGGTTGAAAAACATATCTAAGCATTAATAATCTGATATCGTAATTTGAAAGCTTCATTAATATATTGAAAAAGCATAATTGTTTCTTTATTTTTATCACTTTTAATAACTGAGTAAACTTAAAATACTTGGTCTATTTCTATAATAATTCTTAATATATATATTTCTTAAATTTTCATATGCAGGACACTTAAACACTTAATCAGAGACGACTTATTTTCATGACAAGCGTTGCAAGTTTAGCCAAAAAGTTCATGACAAGTTTAACTCTTTAGAAAATTACAAATCATAAACTATACTAGTCGTTTTTCACAATCAAATATACTTTTTATACAAGTTGCTGACGGGATATACCGGGTATAAAAAAGCCTGAATAAGATGAATATTACCCAAGGTGCCAGCCGGTGGTTATATTTATTTCTGCAAAACTATTCCCCCTTGTATATCTCGTATATCTCTTATAGGTTTAATTAACATTCGCAACTAAGGTTACATCCATTATTGTAAACACACACTATAATTGCAAAACTGGTTAAAAGCTAAAGTAAGCCCTCTTTAATACAAAATGAAACGGTGCTTTGCACAAAATGAAATTCTTTATGGTTTTAGTATGAATTTGATATTTAGTGCATAGACGAAAGTCTGTATATCATAGCCTACTTCTTTTGATGCATAAACTTACTCTACATTGTGAATTTGAGACGTTTCAGATCAATCTACTTTATTTAGATGGACTTACGGTTAAAGCCTTACGTAGTTCATGCGCACTTTCAATTAATGTTCAAAACATATGCATAGCCTTCAAATATTATAAACATAATTTTTTTCAATATTGGTGAATGGTTGTCGTTACATGCTGGGAACATTAAGGTGGCACAGAGGTGACATGTGTATGTATCTTGTGCGCACAAACTGATTATCTCGTGCGCACGAGATAAATAAAAACACACAGCCACCTCTGTGCCGCCGTTTATTTGTATAAATGGAGTTCAAAAAGTATATAGTGGAAGAGTAATAATTATATTTTCTAACATTTTTCAGGTGACACACCCTAGATCATGGCGCCACCTATGGGCAGCAAGGATTTTCTAAATCAAGGCGAAGATGATCAGATGGTAATATTTCGTTCAGTTTTGTGTGAAATCTTTTTTAAGGACACTGTTGTCTACGAAAAGGTCAAACTAACATTAACCAGCGATAGTTAAGGTCACAATAATGTCACATTATACGAAAGACCGGTGGGGACATTTCAATGTCATGAATTCCCGATTTCATCTTAAAAGTTTATGTATTTACGATGTCAACTTCACGAATTCACGATTTTACCTTCACGAATTCAAGTTCGTGAATTCACGATTTCAACTTCACGAAATCAGCATTTCAACGTCATGAATTCACGATTTCAACTTCATGAATTCATGAAAACGTGAATGCATGAAGTTGAAATCGTAAAATCGTGCAATTGAATTTGTTGAAGTTGAAGTCGTGAATAAACGTAAATTCACGAAGTTAAAATTATGAATTCACGAAGATGCACTCGGGATTTCATGAAATTGAAATGGCCCAGTCGGTTTTTCGTAACAGTAAGACTGTCTGTTCTAACATAAAAAGTTATTCTTATTCTAAATATAACTTTTTAAGTGGTTAGTGACTTGATAAGAGCTATATTGTAATTATTTTAGTTATCTTCTTTATTCTTAAAAAAAATCTAGAGTCTAATTACTATTTGGAATTTATTCTAGCAAAACTAATGTGGAAATGTGCAAAATAGAAAAAAATCTGAAATTATAGATTATACATGTATAAACGTTGGATTGCAACTTATCTTTTTTTCAGTGAAAATACGTGAAAACCGGTGAAAGTTTGCAAATTATTTACCCATGACCCATTCTGAAAATCTTATTAAATGGCTAACACCCAGTTTAAAATGTTCAAAGAATTTTTCAAAACCACTTGTAAAAAAAACTTTTTTTCAAACTATTAAATTTCAAATTACATTGTTACTTTATATACAAATGCCCACCTTGAAACAATTGTGTTGATTCGGTCTGCTTTGATTTTATCACACAAATTTAGCTCGGTTAAAAGTAGGGGGTTAAATTATTTAATTAAAATAATGCCACATTATCAAATTTTTATCATTTTCACACTGAACCTCTGTTTTAGAAATGGCAACTTTACTGTCGTCACTCTTTGTCACATTTTATATTTAAAGCGGTACTACAATATGTTGTTTATTTTAAAACGATATTAACCCATACATTCCTAAATATCTTAAATGGATTTGTCCATCGTAAAAAGATAACAATTTAGACGTAACCATTCATCATTTCTAGGGAAACGTTTTGAAAATATTATGTAAATAACACATGGGTTTGTGGAAAACAGTAAAAATATCATCCCAAGGAAAATACTGTTACCCGAGGCGTATTTTTACGAGGGATGATATTTTTACTGTTACTCACAAACCCATGTGTTATTTATATTATTACCTCGAACAAAAATACTGTGATGATCTGAAATTGTCAACTCAATCTAACTGTAACAAAAATAACCAGAGTAACAATAACTAAACTGCCCTTACCTTTTAAGGTTTAAGTGTACTTAAGGCCTACTTGAGAAGTTTTCTTTTGCTTTATTCTTTTAAGCAAGTGATGATATCTAAAAATCATAAAACATACAATAAGCTAGGTTTTGTTTAGAAAACAAAACACTAACCCATTTACACGGTTATGATCTGTGAAATCTGATCCTTCTGTTTCCAGAATATTCTTAGCATGGTTTTTGACAAAATAACGATGATATCCTATGTGTGTCCACCATATCTGTAACGTTTCACTGAAACAAATTGTTATATAACCCTTTGTTGCATGCTTAAATCGTCTGCATGTTCAAGTTTGAAACATAATTATTTATATTGCAATTACTTCCGTTGAAAACGGATGTTCACTTTTTGACTATTTAACAAAAATATATTTTATACGCTAAAAGCACACCAGGGTACGAACAACTAAATTTATGAGTGTCATAGTTACTCCAGAGAAGTAAACAAGAATGAATCGAGAAAAAAATGGCCGCCATTTTACTTTATTTTATTTAAAAAATAGACCACGTGACCAGATTTTATACTGTTTAAAAATACTGTTCCTATGTACATTTAAAAATTTTTTTATTTAGGGGTACATTTTGCTTTAAAACATTTAAAAAAACCTCCAGGGGGCCTAGGGGAAATTTTGGGCTTTTTCGAAAAAATGAGGGGGTAATAAGCCCCAATTTGTTTTGTGAATATTTTCCAAAGGGGAAAAATGTAAAATTGTTAAGGTTAAAGAAAAGTTTAGGAAGAAGGAAAGGGGGTTCTTTTTTAATTTGTTTAAAGGGGGCCCCCATTTTTCCCTCAGAATAAATTTAAATATTTTCCTTTAGAAGGGCCCAAACTGATTTTTTAAAACCCTTTTTAAAAACATGGTTTTTAAAGGAAATAAAAATTTTTTTTGGGTTTCCCGGAAAAAAAATGAAAATGAAAAAGAAATGTCAAAAAAATAGAAAAAAAAAAACCTTTTGCAGTATAAAAATTAATTTTGTAATACAATAATATTACATTACTTTTACTATTGGTAACGGTTTATAAATGTTAGATTGTCACCCTTCATATCTTAACTTATTTTAATTCGCACAGATATGTTAGATAAACATGGCATATTAATTACATAAATTATATACAAAGTTAGATATCCTTAATACATTTCCAGTCAAAAGCAATGCAATTTTTCCTTGTCAGATGCAATTACACTGGCCTCCAACTTAAAAAAGTCTTAGCATAACATTTCTAATATCAAATAACCTCGATCATTGGATTATGTAGCATTTAGATTTAAATCTACGAAAAAAAAAACTGTACATACTGGAATCTTCCTAAAAATGCCGATTTGCTGGATCTTTCTGATTCCATTAGACCTGAAAAAACAGCGTTAACATAATATCTTGCACCGTGTTCACTAGGAAAAGATCAGGATCAGGATAAAATGATCCTGATTTTATTTTCATTGTTTTATATAACTAATTTTGATTGTATTTTGCTAATTTAACGGACAGTAAACCATGTCTATTCAGGAAATCACTGGATATCGCCGGAACGTCATCAAGTCAGCAATCACGTGGTTTTTCATCGTCATCACGGTTGGACTGCTTCGTCTGTTTTTCTTTTGGTTGCCACATCTGATGGTTAGAGCAATGAATGATAGATGTGACCTTGCAGATGCTACTACAGTCATTTTAAAGGTAAGTTAAATATACTTCGAGCTCCTTTGACCGAGTAGTAAAGGAACTAGTCTTTACCAAGAGCTTATTTCTGGGCTTAACTTCCACTTAGAAATGAATTGCACTCAGGTAGAAGACGGAAGGTCGCTAGATATTCTTATGTGCACAATATTTTATATTCTGCTTGATAAATCTTTATTTTTGCTTTCTTAAAAATGGACTTGATGCGGAAAGGTAAATTATCATGACCCCCGTTTCTCAAAAAAATGAAAACCCGGAAAGTCAATGACATTTAATTCAAAAGTGATATCCTTTCTTAACCCAGACACACAGCATGCTAACCAGAAATTTACTTTAAGCTCTATCGAAGAGTAAGAACATTTGACCTGTATTTCGTTTTGAAAGCATTACATATTCATTAACTCTCTTACATAAATTTGCCGGGACACTTAAAAAAGAAAAATGTTCAAATGATAATTAAAAAATGTACTCAGAGATAACTGGTAATCGTTTTTTGTGCCAGTCTTGGTTCGATCAGAGTGAAAAGCGTTTCAACGCTTTTAAGCTTGTTTTGTTGTTGTCATTTTTCACAATTAAAATAATCATGTAGGGAAAACAGAGAGAGCGAATGATCTGAAATTTAGCACACAAGTTATTGGTCAAACCCTAAATCAAATGGATCATTGATCCCGAAAAATTATTTCCAGTCCCGTCATGTCAATAAACCCCAGTGGAATCCCTTTAAGAATGTGAATTTATTTGATTTTTCACATACAGGATGAGTATGATCAATGGTTTGTATCGAATGTCCAGATGATTACAAAGAATGGTGAAATGTAAGTTATATTTTCAAAAATATTTCAATAATTGATGTTATAATACTAGTATTAATTATATCATTTTTTATTTTATTTCTGTTGATGTTTGATTCATTGTTGGTGTTGTGATGTATAAATTGTCAGCTAAGTGTCATAATTAATATCCAAAAGCACAGTCACACAAATTAATTAAATGTGCCATTTTACTGCTTCTATTTAAAGAATGAAAGTATGAAAGAATGAACTGAAGCAAGAAAAAATATATTGTTTTTATTTTCTCTTTGATTTACGGAATTTTAGACTCAATGTGTTTTAAAGACACATTATGCAACAGAAACAAATAAATTTTAATGTTTTTAAAAAGAAACATGAATTTTAGAGTAAAACGTTGTTTGTTTTTGTGATAATATGTTTCAAACTTTAAAATTGAATAAATGTGCAACATTTGAATATTTTACAAATAGCAATTGTAGTTGTTATGAAAATATTAACCCCTAGGTTAACGAACCTTCAGACATTTATATTCTTATTAAAAACTGTAAAGGTAATTTTTATCGTCGTTGATATTTGATGGTTCATTAGATTTTGAATGTCATGCTATTTTAAAGGGTCAAACAGGATTCTCGGCGCAGTTGGTCGGTTGGCAGTAGCACACCGTTATCTGGCAGCGGAACTGCACGGGTATGTATCAGAGATTTTGCAAAACGCCAATTGAAATCAACTTAATTATAATTGACAATATAATCATTCGATGGTATAGTTGTAGATTGATCATTAAGAATTGTCAGACGTGTTTTTTTTTCTTTCTTTTTTTTCAAAATGTTCATATGCAATGTATCAATAAGGCAAAATCTTATTTCCTTGGCTGTATTTAATCTACACGAGTCCAGTTTAAGCAATGAGGAAACCGAAAATATATTTATACTAACAGAAAGATGTACGAGTAGAACTACAAGCTTGCCTTGTTAGACAACTTAATATGTTTACTTTTAGAAGTTCTCGACTGAACGTGTGGGGTGGTTCATGCATATTTTGTTGCATTTAATGGCAGTTCTGGTGGCCCACCTTTGCTTAACATTTTAGTGGAATATTGTATAATAAATTAGTTAGTAAACTTTCAATTTGGTAGAATTTAAGATATTTATTTAAAAGAACAGTCATTAAAAAGACAAACATTCATTCAGGAAGTAGTTATTTATTCTTCGAATCCTTATGTAAATGAACCCATTCTCTGCAGCGGTATTTATAAAGTCATGGGTATTTTAATAGTCCAACGGATTGCATTCAAACTACGTGTACTGTACAGAAATATTCATTTGATTACTTCATGATATATAACTTAACTAACAAAAGGGGAAGTTTCGTTTCTTAACAACTCATAATTGAAGTTCATTTTCGTCTGAATTTGCACTGAATGCACGTACATTTCAGTTAATTTATTTCTGTTTATTTTGTTTTATCAACAGCACAGTAATGGAGGTGTCGTCTTATCAATTATCGTAAATACTTCATTTCTAAGATATTAAATTTGTAATGGTTTTAAATGGCATTTGGGTCTGGTGAAAAGGAATACAAATTGCACTTTATTGGTATGTGACATGCTCCGGGTGTCGGGTTGTACTGAACAACTTTTATTTACAAGACATTGATATAAAAAAATCGAAATGGTATGAAAGCGGGCAATGTTTAAAAACAGGTGATATAGACTAAGTAATGAATGTAATGTATTTATTTTGCATGTGTATATAATTAGTTCAATAAGTTTAACAACTGGTGAAATAAGTACAAACTCACAGTTATCTGTTTTAAAAGCCAGACAAGTTTAAATGTAATTGTGCTGATGGGTGACAGTTTCATTGGAATGGCTTATTGCTTTTAAATCATTGAGGCATTAGAACTTCATCCATTGTAACACAATTTAGAATGCAAAAGCTCTCTGTTACATAAAAGAGTACAATTATTTTAGTGTGTTTATATAATTATTAAAAAAACATTTGCTTTCATATAAAATGTAAAGGATAGGATGATGGCAAAAACTCTTTCATTAAATTTATAATTCAGGAATATAAAAAACAGAAAATTTTTAAGTTAGAAAGGTTGATGTAACGTGTTTGAGCTATATCTTTTCGAATACGAATTGCGTGTTTAACAAATATGGATTTAGGTAAACAATGTCTTCTTGCTCTGATGGGCATGTGGCTGACTCCCTTTTAAATCATTGTATTGCTGTAGTTTTCTTCTTTACCTGAACATTTACCAACATTCTTAGAAAACATTCAATTTTTAAACATATACTATATTTCAACTGGAAATAATGGTATGAATTAGAATGACATGAAATTTACCACTGTGACTATAAGTTAAATAAAAAAAACATAACCAACAATGAATATTAGATTTTACAGACATATGCATTTGTTATCTACCTGACATAAGTAAAACAAGTCAAATTCAATTGTAAATATTTCAAAAATAACATCGGTGATCCCTATAATTATCACTTTACTAAACGATTTCTGTATCATATTCTGAAATATGTCAAAATGTATTTTAGAGAAAATATAATTATATTGAACCATTTTAAGGATGAAAACTACGTATACATATATGTAAATTATTATGTAAATTTATAACGCTTGGGTGCTTCGGTTGCAGCATATTTGTAAAATTATTTTTGGGGATTTATAAACTTTGCATAATGCAAGATTTCGTTTTACCGATGTATATTTCTTATTCAGGTCGTGAAAAATGACTACAGTACATATTACATGTATTTATAGTACATGCACAAAATATGCTTACACACCGCTTGTAAAATACCCAACCAATCTAAGTTACTTTCAAGATAACATAAGTATTATCTCAATAATGATTGCACCTATTTTTGTACTTACAAATTTTTAAATTTGTTCATATCATATCATGATTAGAATAATTTGAGGAGAGTAGAACAGATGAGAGGAGAGGGGAGGGAAGGGAAGGGAAGGGAAGGGGAGTGGAGGGGAGTAAGTACAGTAAAGTAAAGTAAAGCAAAGCTGAGTCATTAAGTAAGTAAGCAAGTAAGCAGTTGGGTAAAAAGTAAATAAGTAAAAATGTAATATTAAACTTAATACAAAAACGAAACTATGAAATATTTTTATAAGCTTAGAGTGACATTGTGTCATGTAGATATAAACAATTTAGATATAACAAATAACAACACCCAGCCAGGTTTGGCCTATAAAACATTCACAATTCATGAATTTAATCATAAAAATATACTAGCTAAAAACTTAGTATTCCGATTTCAACATTCAAAACGTGTGCCTTATCAAGATATTGACAATATGTATAGTCTCCGTTTGTTATCTGCTTAAGTAATTTTGATAAGGACAAAATCAATGTTTATTTATGTTATCAAATAGAAAACAATTGTTGGAAAGGACAACTCACTAATGATGTTAAAATGTGTGGCCCATAATGTACAACTACAGTAATGACGAAAATACTGTAAATTTGTTCGTTAATGTTTAATGTCTTACGTTTGCATGTGAAAATTTATCTGTTTTGTATAGAAAGAAACAAAACAACAACATTTACAATTAATTGTGATTTAACTAAGAAAAAATGTTATAAACTATTAGATGCATGACGAAAGTTATATATTAAATTATCCAATCTAAAACTTACAGTACAAATATAGCTTCCTAAATGTATCGCTAGTAAATAATGTTCAAATTATTGTAATGCATTCTTTAATTAATGCATGTGAACTATTTTGATTAAAACCTTTACAGAATGATTAATGATCTCGACACACACACATAGTTGAAGTACTCCTGATTTATTTATGCGTTTTGCTCTATTTTATTGAAACATAGTCTAACGATATCATGATAATTTCATTTTCAGGCACGTTCTGAAATTATCAGGTATTTCATCACGAAGAAAGTGAAATATATCTGGAACAATGAAAGCTCATCTTTTCTCAAACTCAGGTAACAAAGAGTTCCTTACTTGATTAACAACTTCGCAAACTTTAAAACTATATATATTTCTATCTAGAACCTTTTTGGGTACATGCACTTTATGCAGTTGGGCGTTCATGTTGTAAGAAAAAAAAGAAATATGTACTTGCGAAAAAAGAAAAACATTGTGTAATTGTTACATTTTGACAATGAATGACCATATTATATGATTAAAATAAAAAAATAGAGAATGCAAATTACTGAAAATAGATACAGCTAAACATGTGCCGCCATAATTTAGGATACATTTTCAATTTTTAGATAAAAGCTCTCACACACCCGTTTGTTCTTATTTCGGATATCTGATAAATAGAATGTTATATTTTTATAGATTCATTAATAAATTTATCAAACTCGTTGAATAAAATTATGTAATGCTCACCAGAGGCTCGCATAGTAAACTTTTATTCAACAGATTCAATAAATTCAGTATTGAACCACACACATTCAATTTATTCTATATATTTTGTATTTTATTTCAGAGGTATAGAAGACAACGTGTCGTGCGGCTTTTTTCATGACATATCATATTTATCATACGATGATGCCACAAGAAGACGTGTAATATACGGCTATAACTCAATCCGAATACACGTTACCCCAATTGTGAAACTGCTTTTTAAAGAGGTATCTGCTTTGCTATTTCCACATCAACAACATACTCAATGTCATTATCACCGCGATCATTATTATTATTATAAATTATTATTATTATTTATTATTATTATTATTATTATTATTATTAGTAGTAGTAGTAGTAGTAGTAGTAGTAGTAGTAGTAGTAGTAGTAGTAGTATCATCATTTTTAGCGATACTCCGGTGAAAGAAATAGCTAAATTGTTGTAACATAATTGACATTACGCCAGAGAAGAGATTGCTCCGCCCACTGATACACTTGACCCGGTCATTCAGAACCTTAGACAAAACACGGTACCGGCGTTTACAGGAAACTATTATGCCACTAAAGTGACTAATGAATTTGCCTTATATAACTTGGTATATATAAAATTTTAATGCTTTTCTTGGTTAGTTCAATGTATTTTGGTATTTAAAAAGTAAAAATAACTGCACCCATGCATTAATTATGAATTAAACGTTTGGTAAAGATATTGTTATAATTATTTTTCGTTGACTTCAAGAAAGACGTTTCTTACAAAATATCATTTTAGTTTACAAATTCAAAGATAGTTAAAATTAAAATAGTGGAACATATAAATAGTAAAATTATATCAATAACACAGAAACATTTACAAATGTTTTTAGGGTTTTATGTGCGAAATCACTTATATATAATGCATTTGTGCATAAACTGTTAACATTTAATGAGAAAATTGCCCTTGCATAACTTTTTAGTATGATATATGATTATATGTATATTTGCACATTAGATATGTTTCGTGATTCAACGCAATATTATCCACTTCAAAATAAGTTTCGCATCAACCCGACGGTAAGACCTCGGTTTTGAATTAAAACCGTGATCAGGTATGATGCTATTGAAGCAGATGTATCCAAATATTTAATCTTAATTCATTGAGCTTTCATAGAAATATTTAGGTAGAATATAATCTATCATAGAATATTCATTGCATATCCTCTCATTTTATTTGCAAGTACTTTTTTTCTACTGCAGCATTTTATTGACACTATGTTAAGAACGAACAAAAAATGTCATATCAGACCTTATAATATATATTATGTGATTATTAACTGACATAATTGTTATAAAGGAAGGAATAAAGTATTTGTTTAAACTCTTTCCTTATTTAATGCATTATGGTATAGCCAGGCTTCATAATCTCTGATCCCCATTCAAAATTCCATTTTATTTAGGAAGCTTAGGGCAAACGCATTTTTTTTAACTCGGGGACCATATGCCGCTTTTCTTGGAATGGCACTAACGTGTCACATTGAAGGTTCCATGATGACCGCCATATGGACACATCTGTGGATGTTTAAAAATTCCAAATTTTACCAGGTCATGTTGAATACTGCTTAAGCCAGTGGTAGGGGCGTGGACGGTTACTTGCACATTCCATTACCGTCATTGACAAAATTCAAAATAATTTCAATATAAATACTGCTGCACCATTGTCTTATACAAATAGCTTGTCTAAGGAAAATGGCGGATTTTGCAGACATCTTAGCATGAAACTGATTACGATCGCCGACTGGCTTATCTGGATGACCCCTGTCAGATTGTTTGGCAGGCGGCGTAATGTCAATCATAAAATTTTTTTGAGAAAAATGATATTATGATGTTTACATACTAATTTCCAAGAACAGAGAATGGGATATAAACTGTGATATCTGACGCACAGTCTTAGGGGCCAGTTACACAGACGGTCGGTCCCAAATCGGTCATTTAATTTTAAATTTACTCGCTGTTATGATCGGTTGTCATGCGTGATTTTTTTCTGGTTTTCTGTGTAAACGGCCATCGGTGACAGAAAGCAAACTCAAACGGGGTTGGGTCGATGATTAAAATGCTGAAATACTATCGGTTTTCATCGTTTGTAAATCGGAGCTAAATCGGGCGTAACGCTGATTAATCGGTGTTTGATAGCTAGTCATCAGTGGTTAAACACTTTCCGTCAGATATGGCCGGTGATTCATATTTGATTATCTTTGTCCGATCGGCGATATCGGTGATTAAGAGCTTGCATATAGGTTGCTGTCGGTTATTTGTAAAATATTTTCACCGATTGAGAATTTTAAACATGTTTAAAATTCCCAATCGGTAATTTTTCACCGATGAAACTTATCTTTCCCCAATAGCAGTTGATAGGTGGAAAACAGGTGACCAATAGGTGATATCGGTGTTAAATACGTTGTCATCGGTTCACTACATAATTTGGCTAAAAAAAACTACCGATCAATCACCGATGGCTCTGTGTAACTGGGGTGTTAGTTATAAAATACTGAGTCATGTTTAAATTACATGCGCACGTATGCAGATAACTCTTGCTAGCTAACGTATACTTTCTGGTGACGAGTTTTCTCCCTTTCAACCTAACGACCTTTTTCCGCATTACGATAAAGAGATTAGTTAAAAATTGCATGATATAAATTTAAATTTTCCCTTTATCTTTCTTTCTTTCTTTCTTTCTTTCTTTCTTTCTTTCTTTCTTTCTTTCTTTCTTTCTTTCTTTCTTTCTCTTTCTTTTTTTAATTCAATGTAATTGACTTTAAATATATGAGAATAGTTATATACCATCAGTAATCGCGAATTTCCATGATTGTATTTTATGTTTTATTTTCAGGTTTTGTCGCCATTCTACATATTTCAAATTTTCAGTTGTAGTCTCTGGTTTGCGGACGAGTATTACTATTATGCCGCGTGTATTGTTTTCATTTCAATAGTGTCCATCATAGCCACAATATATCAAACTAGAAAGGTATAAATTGCTTTTACAATAATTTACTAGTTTTTATGTTTTGACGTATGCGATAAATCATTTTAGACCGAATTTTATAATTATTCTACATGTGTATCATGTCCATTCCATAGTATGTTTGCTTTCTGGCGATCAAGGCCTACTTTTTATTACGTACATTTCTATTGTGTATTAATTACAATGTTTTATGACGAAGGATAAGGATTAACTGATGAGAAATAGGTTTTATTTTTAAAACTTTATACGTGCTTGAAGTGTTAATACATTACTACGAATTCGTATGATACGTTCTAATGTATCTTTTTTTATATATATTCCAGTACATTCATGCTCTATCAAGTTGTGCTTAATTTGACCAAAGTTGTAACACATCGCATTTGTAACACGTGCTACAAATGTAATCACATGCTTAATAGATGCTACAAACGTATCATAGAAATAAAGCACTTGCTTTGCCACGAATATGATTCATGCCGATTTTTCAATTCAAAATCGTTTTCGCATCAGATCAATTTTCACATGCAAAATAGATCAAAAATAAAATTTTACTACACTGTAACACATTTGTCACAGGGTGTCACAAGGAAATAAGTAAATTATGTTATAACAAGTCAAGACATCGTTTAAATTTGTTTCTACTTTCTTTTATTTGTTAGATGCAACGGGCATTGAGAAACACAATCCAGTCTTCGACCACTGTCAGTGTTTGTAGAGGAGAAAATGGTTAGATATTTTAACTCACGTGCACTAACTTGCTTTTTTCATTTTTTCTTTTACAATAAAATACCATTTTCTTATCGATCGCATGTTAACAAGTCGAGTACAATGTATCACGTTTTACTATCGTCATTGACATTGTCAATTCAATAAAAATAGTACATGTATTATTCTGTTAAAAGTACTTTTTATTAAAACTTACACCAGTATATGCAATTTTTTATATACATATCATACATACTGTACATGAATGGTAATACATCTTCTTCAACCGATGCTGAAACTGCCTTGTTTGTATTAAAGAATTTCACGAAGTGTCATCAGAAGATCTTGTCCCTGGAGATATTATTGAAATACCACGTGGCGGATGTATAATGCAGTGCGACGCTATCCTTATCACCGGAAACTGTATTGTCAATGAAAGCATGTTAACAGGTAAAACAGTCACAAGAAAAAATCAATTTATGATGATAATGATGTAATTGTGACTGATGTCGCTGATGTTATTACTGTTGTTGTTACTGTTGTTGCTGCTGTTGCTGCCAATTAAGATGATGCTAATTATTTAAAAGGACAAAAATGTTATGCTTAATCATGATGACAACAACAGTTATGATAATGATGATGATGGTGACGATGATTTGTATGATAATTAAGGTAATTATGATGATAAGGATTATGATGATTGTGAAATTGATGGTGATAATGATAATGATGATGATGAAAGTGATGATGATGATGATGATGATAATGATAATGATAACCATGATAATGGTGATGATGATGATGAAAATTATGATGATGATGATGATGATTACGAAAATGATGATGATGATGATGATAACGATGATAATGGTGATGACGATGATGAAAATGATGCTCAAGTATGGTAAAGGAATGGTTGCTTTACTAGTTCCATTCAAATAAAAACAATATACAATATGTACACAATGTATGCTTGTGAATTGGTTGGTGCTTTTTCAATGTTTCATGTATTACTTAAAATAATTAAAGTCCTAAATTATGAGTTAAATTGTACAGACAAATCAATCATGCTGTTGCTTGTATACATTGTAGGGGAGAGTGTCCCAGTAACAAAAACACCCTTACCAAACCCGTTGTTGACGCACGAGGAAAGCACCCTCTACTTTAATATAAAGGATCATGCTCGTCACGTGCTCTTCTCTGGAACCCACGTGATACAGACGCGTTTCTACGGCGGGCATAAAGTAAAAGCAGTGGTATTTAGGACAGGTCAGTTTGATTTCTTACATTCTTAAGAACAGCAGAAAGGAATGCCTTAGAAAAAAGAAACTTGTCTTTGATCACAAGAGTTCTCAAGAAGAAATTTAATTTTGAAATAGAAAATAAGATAACAGGCCTTAATCAAAGCACAGAAGGCACTGAATTTGTTTGGGTCTCAGAATGTCAGAAAGGTGAAGGTTGTGAGATTATAAACCAATTTGTTTTGTATAGTGCCACCAATGCTTTTCAGCGTTTTAATTGTAGTAAATTGGCTATTAGACTCATTGCAAGACTGATATTCTATTCAATATTTATTTGACTTAAACAATTTGAAAAAAAAATGAGTTGCCTTAACTTGGATTTGTATTCCAGACCTCTCGCTCCCTAAGCAAGCGCGCAAACCCCTCGGCCATGGTGAAGTTATATGTTAACGGCCTGAAGAAAACCAAGGATTTGTAACCCTTATTATTGCGACGCTAACTGTTGTATAACACAGATGTAAATAATCATGGAGCTTACTATAAGCATGTATATCTATAAAGAATAAAACAATATTAGAAATATTCGACCATTCGGAATTATTTTGCTTGAAAATTAATGCGCCTGTCATTTGACCATCTTTACGCAGTGATCTCCCCTGAATTTTTCGGCGTTGGTGTACATATAAAGGGAAGTAACCGCTTCAAAATAGCGGACTACTTTCGGCATTTGCAATTAACCCAGGTCTGAAATTTCGCTACCATTATTTGTTTTGTCTGACGACCATAACAAATAAAAATGAGCATTTTTATTTTCATGAAGTGATAAAAACCTATAAAAATGAAAAATACCCCAGAAGCAATGAAAACAACACAATGATTTTAAAGTTACATGCTCGGTTTGATTGCGTCTGTCCATAAAAAATAATGTAAAAGTACATCTCTCTTAAACCCCCCCCCCGCACCGGCTTATGCGGTACTCAATCTTTAACACTGTGCTGGAATCGAATCATTGACATAAATCATAAACAGGAAAACTGAATTGAAGTGCACACAGGCAAACCTTTTTCAACAGCTGCTGCCACACGACTCTTGACGCCACAAGCTTACCTGCAGAATTGGTAGAGAGCAAAGTCGCCAATTTCGATTGTTACACTAGTTCCTTTTTTATTTTTATTTTTTTTAATGTTCGTATTGCTATTCATAAATAGAAGCATGGAAAAAAAGTCTATAAAAAGCGTTTAATCTCAATATCAAAGTAGACTATATTTCATTAACTATTCCACTATCACACAAATAAATAAATCATCAATCATGATACACGTGACCATTCTTTATCAATGAAACGAAAATATAATCATCAATGTCTGTTTTTTCTATTTTTTATTATCCCCCAATTCTGGAAAGCAAAACATATTTACAAAGTAAGTTATGTAGATATAACAGAAGAGAAGTATATAAAAACACATTGCATCCATATCATTTTTTTCAGCAAATAAGAAATTTATGTAATATATATTTTTTCATTTAGGGTTTTCTACCGCAAAAGGAGGACTGGTGAGAAGTATTTTATACCCAAAGCCGGTAGATTTCAAGTTTAACAGAGATACGTACAAGTTTGTCGGTATTTTAGCTGGCATTGCACTGATGGGCTTCATTTACACAGTAGTTCTAATGGTAATATACTTATATTATCTATTTTGTGTTATTTAACAATATATATTTCAAATGAGCGAATGTCGATTGTATTTAAACTTCTTAAATTATGTAACATGCTGTTTCGAAACGAATTTGTCAAAATTGAAAAATTGCTTTCCACTGCGATCACGTGTTTTTAGTATAAGCGTGTCATTTAACTTTTCCTCCCATTGTTTTTTTTTTTCTAAAAGATAAATATACAAGGTCGTAATGTGAAACAAAGTTAAAAGTGATACAAAAGTTTTGTTGTGATTGAAAAATGGACAAGTCCATTAAGAATTGAAGCGCGTTAAGAAGTGAAATTCGATCCCTCAATGCTTTGTACAAATTATGTGATCGTCGTCACTTGTCACTTTTATAACTCGTAATTTGTCGTGATATAACTTAGTCTTGCAAGATATCCTTAATCATGATAATTGAAACGCTCATCTGATCTTTATTAGGTACGAAAAGCTACGGAACATGCCGAAGATTCACGTTTTTTTTTTTTGGACTCACAAATTATTTCAAATTATTTCATATTATTTGTCTGCAGTAATAAACAGTGGCAAAATCATAAGTAAATCATATTTGAAATATTTCTTTTTTCAGACTGAAAGAGGAGATAGCGCTGGGGACATTGTCAAGCGTTCACTAGATCTGATTACAATCGCTGTTCCTCCAGCACTTCCGGCCGCGTTGACTGTCGGTATTGTTTTTGCCCAGAGGAGAATGAAACAAGCCAAGATCTACTGTATTAGTCCTAGAAGTATAAACGTCTGTGGTAGCCTTAATACTGTGTGTTTTGACAAAGTAAGACATTCAAATCACTTGTTTGTTTGTTGTTTTTTTCTGATTTTTTTCCCGAATTTTAAAACAGGTTTTTGTCATTTTCGGCAGTCGATCAACCTCACTGGCTTTCCTGGGTAACTAACGAGGAATTACCATTTTCTCAGCAAATGACCATCTACCTATCCCATACCATCTCTGAATCAGCAGAGAGAGTCAAATGACTATTACACCCAATGTCCGAAAACAAATGCAATGGAATTTTTTTTGCCTCGCCCGAAAATATAACCATCGACGGCGGATTTCAAATCCAATGCTTTCCATATTGACCAAAAATATGATAAACAAGATCAACAAGGAAAGGTTGCATTCAATGAATGAAACCTCAACGGACGAACTCACAGCATTTATAACTAATATAGTGAATGCAGAACACACCAATCAATATTAAAAATATGACTTGCGTGCTGATGCACATCAATTCTTCCTGTAAAGTATCTGACTGTCTGTATTAAAAATAAGCGGCGCTTGAAAGGTGTAAACTCTTTGATAAATAAAGACATATGAGCCGTGTCATGACAAAACCAACATAGTGGTTTTGCGACCAGCATGGATCCAGACCAGCCTGCGCATCCGCGCAGTCTGATCAGGATCCATGCTGTTCGCTGTCAGTTTCTCCACTTGTAATAGAGTTGATAAGCGAACAGCATGGATCCTGATCAGACTGCGCGAATGCGCAGGCTGGTCTGGATCCATGCTGGTCGCAAACCCATTATATTGGTTTTGTCATGACACGGCTCATATTTTGAATGGGGAACTGACGTTCAAATTTAATGTTGAGACAGTCATACTCGTCTTGTAAAATTTGTCTTTATCTACAATGTATACATTAGTTTTACCCTAATGAATTAGTGATAATAATTCATATAATCTTTTTTCTCGAAATGCAATCCACGACTGTTATTTGAAAAATAAATCAATAAAAATAATCAAGGCTTAAAAAATAAACTCGAAGGATTTTAGGATATTCATCCCTAAAATTATCTTCCTGCAAAATAAGATTGAATTAATATTATTTTTTACTGACAGACTTACGTTTGGTATTTATTTATTATTTTTATATTCTTTTTTTTCTGTCAGACTGGAACCTTAACAGAAGACGGGTTAGACATGCACGGAGTCGTTACCGCAAAGGAAGGAAAGTAAATATCTTGTCTTATTGACATTGCTTTTGTCAAATTTTCTTTTCAAACACTTTCGTCTAGACTTTTTTGTATATGATAATAAATATCATAGAATTCGTTTATTCTCTTTTAAATTTCTTTTTATTTCTCTCGTTATAATGTCATGAAAACAGTTGATCGTCTTTTTTTCTAATAATAAGCTTATGTTACAAGAATGCTACTTACAATACCCCCCCCCCCAAAAAAAAAAAAAAAGAAAGAAAGAAAGAACATTGATTCAGATAGATACAATTATGATTACTTTTGCATTTTTAACTGTCAAAAAGGTTTGACACAGAAATAAAGAACGTGAATCTTGTACCACGTGGTTCATTTATGGTTGGTATGGCAACGTGTCACAGTCTTACTATTATTGACGGAGTTCTCAGTGGAGATCCCCTAGAGCTGATAATGTTCGAATCAACTGGCTGGGTAAGCACATGTCGTCTACTAATAAAATTTTAAAAAACCCCAAAAGAAACAGAACTATGTGGATAGCATAAGTGAATAGGTAATTTAGAAGATACCGCCAGAAATTGTTCATTCCAAATTAATATTGTAAATGTTTATGTGTATATTTGTCCGGTATATGACTATCAAAATTACCTATTCAAGGTATTGTTTGCATTTTGTCTTTTGTAGTGATTGTTTTTATTTTGATTTTTTAAGAAAATTAGTGATAACTCAGTCATTTCGTTTAAAAAATAGACACACAGTTCTTGGCCTGTTGAAAAGCGCATTAAAATACACGCGCCTACTTTGTGGCATATTTATAACGCATATGGAGATAAAAAGGCGCATTCAAATTTCATTACATAAATTGTATTATTTAAAAATACATTGAAATGATATTTTTTACATTAGTTTTACATTATCGTCATTACAATTTTACAATGACCTTGACCTCTTCAGGAATTATCAGAGCCTGGGAACGAAGAGTCATCAAGATTTGATATGATATGTCCGACTATTGTCTGTCCGAAAGCTACACGACTTACAGCGTCTGCAGATCTATCGTCTGGAAACACGGTTCGTTTGTTTTGTTGTTTATTGTTGGTGGTGTTATTGTTGTTTTTGTTTGTTTGTTTTTATCTGCTTTTTACGCCGATTAATCAGATATTTAGTTATATCTCAGCAGACGATTCACGTAACCGGTTTTCGTGGATAACAAACCAGTAATTATACTTATCCGAAAGTAACCTACTTCTAATCGCACATTCCTTTTGTTGCTGAGAGGTTGCCTGTACGAGTTGAGGAATCAGAATATAACCCACCATCTTATCCTGCGTGATCGTAAAAGACGACTAAATCAGTTCGAGTAACTGGAGTCTATGCATCTCTTAGCTTCTGCAGGTGAAGTGGTTTTGACCTCCATTGTTGTTTGTAACACCAGAGGTTAGCCAGAATCATCTTTCTTCTTTCTAAACGGTGGTGGTGCGCCTTAAAATCAAACTAACAAATCCCACATGATTTCTGACAGACAGATAACTAATTGACTCTATGTCAAAGATCAATTGTCACGGAGAAATTTCGCCCCATCTAAGGATCGGGCCAGTGACACCATGTTAACTAATTCGGACTTTTATCAATTTTTTAAATATAGCATCTTAAAAATTTGCCTTTTAATATAAATTTACATTAAATGGCCTTAAAAATAGTTATACATAGAGCCATTTTCAAGCTATATTTGTAGAAGTTGGTATGTTTTAATAATTATAATAACTCACCTTTTAAGTCATGTTTTACTACCGGAAACTAGAAACAGAACGCTCTTCAAACTTATATCTTACTTTCAACTATTGTTTATAAAATATTCATTTTTACATAGACATTATCAGAAGAAATCGGCATCGTGAGACAATTTACATTTACGTCAAGTTTGCAGAGAATGTCTGTAGTAATTCGTCACCTAGGGGCAGATCACTTTGACATCTATACTAAAGGTGCACCTGAAATGATTGCCTCCCTTTGTGTAACAGATACAGGTACGTTTGTGGTTACATTTGGTTTTGATCGAGTTTGGTCTACATAATTTCAAGCAAATACATACTTAAAATGCCTCACCTCTATTCAATAAAATGTACGTTTTGACCTATAAAATCTTATTATATCAATATAATCAAAATAGATTCTTATTAAAGCTGGTTGATATTTGTAAGACAAATGTGCTGCCTGACTTGAACCAGAAGCCCGGACCCTCGGAATATCGTTCCGAGGATCTTTTTACTGAGCTATCCGACACATCATCTCCCCTAAATAGTGAATAGTTCTAAACCGTAACAAACCTCCCTGTTATATTGAAACTCGTTCTCAGGGTAACAGAGTTAAATTACATTCTGAAATATATGCAGTGACGATCCCCCGTTGGGCGCCAAATGTTACAGGTCGAGAAAAATATTCAGCCTGAATTGGCACTCGAACCCGGAATCCGCGGCATACTGTTTCGTGACTTAACCGACTGAGTTAGCTGACCACTAGACATCTTATCCCCTAAATTGAACAAATCTGAACCATGAAATTTGAATGTTATATTCATAACGATATCACCATTTTTAGTGCCTTCCGATTTTCACGAAGTCCTTAACGGATACACGAGACATGGGTATAGAGTACTCGCACTTGCACATAAACCTTTACCATCTAAACTGAAGTATCCGAAACTACAACGTATACAGAGGTAAGACATGTTTGAAATAAAGTTAATGATGAGTTTGTTAACTAAACTTCCAGTAGAAAAATTAAAAAAAATCTCTAAGCAGGAGTAAAGTAAATAAAAAAGAAATGTGCAAATACTTTAGAGTTTTTGAGAATCCACTTTGTATTTATCTGCCATTTACTTTTTTTTTCATTTCCGATTTATTTATCGATTTCTTTTGGAATCTTAAAGAAATCATAAATAATTATGATAAATAATATCACATACAGTACATACCTGTGCATATGATACTTGAATTATAAAAACCAAAACTTTGTTGGTTGTTAATAATTCTTACTTTTTTAAGAGTTTTCATTATGCTTTTTATCCTCATAGGACTTTTTCCTCCTTAGTGATTTACTCTGCATGTACTTATTGTCTAAGGCTTGATATGGGCTCCCTTAAAACTTCAAAATGTTTATAGCTCATTAATTAAGTAAATAAATGTTTTGTAATCAGATTATATCAATCATATAAGATTATACAATACACTTATTTTATTGCGATCATTAGATAGCCTTAATGTAATTTTAGATGTTATAAATCGTATGTTAAACATTTCTCAATTAACTCATGAAAACATTTAATAAGTAACTCTAGTCATGCTAATATATTTTCAGAGAACAGGTTGAAAGAGGTCTAACATTTCTTGGATTAATTGTGATGGAGAATAGACTTAAACCTCAAACCACCCCGATTATCCTAGGTCTCAAAGAATCAAACATCCGGCCTATAATGGTAACAGGTTCGTGGTTTTTTTCATTTATGATTTTTATAACATGTAGATAATGATTCTAAAGCATGTAAGGACGCTTTTAACGCGGAGAAAGTAGAGCTGAATATGAAATAATTTGTCATAAAATTAACAAAATGTAAACAAATAGTATTTTGACTTCCATACAAAGTACTAAATAACTATAAACTTAATAGTTTATTCCGCATTAAACATTTTACAATGTTTTTAGCATACAGAGTATAATATACAAAGAGAAAATGGTTTACAGAAGAGTACATGATTATCAATAATGATTAATACTTAATTGATTATATTTAACTTTTGATACAAGAAAAAGATTGATCATTTTAATATAAATTGAATCGGCTACACAAGGTTTCTGTTTATTACCACCCGCGCGTAAAATGAGATTCGTGCGCGTGTATGTTAAACGTTATCAATACTTAAAATACTTCTATCTAGTAGTAAACCAACTAAATACGGGAAAAAATCGTGAGTTAAACTAATTATAGATTGAACATTATTTACGCGTCGCGACTTAGATTCGCATAGTATATAAATTTAGCTACATTATAAATAGTTTTATTCGAACGTGATGATAACAGTAACTCAAGTTTCTTGATGCTGAAAGTATTTTCTTCTCAAAACACGATAAAAAGGACAAACTAGAAGAAAATGGTATTCCGATTCGATTTGATTCATATTACATAACCTACATAATCTATCTTCTCTTTGGATGTTATTATATCTTCCAGTTTCAATATTTAAGCTATGTGACGAAGTTCTAAATCTAGTTAATGCTATTCGGTATTTATTTTCGTAGATGATATTAAGGTATTTCTCAAGCTCGAATTTATATTTATATATTGCGTATGAATTAAGTCGATTTGAATGATTAATTTCCCAATACCATGTTTGCATGTATGAATCATAAATTCTTTTCTTAATTTCATCAAAAGGAATGTCGATTTCAAATTGGTGGTCCCAAATATAACTAAAACCATGGTTATCTAGTATTGTTTTGATTTGGTACGCCCAGTTATTTCGTGCGTAATGTCTATTAAAATCAGTGTCATGTTTAAGCATAAGAAATGTCTTTAAAATCAGTGAATTTGAGTTTTGCGATAATATTATACATTTCATTTAAATAAGGCTTATACGCCTATGACGTCATGATAAGACCTTGTTTACTGGTTAATGAACTGTGTATATTTTAATGTATAAAACATTATCACAATAACACAATATAATTATGACTTTACAGGAGAAGGTCATAATAACAACTCATCGTAAGAACATAGAATAATGAAAAATATTTATTTATGTTTTGTGTTTCACTCACCTCCTTCCTATCTGTTAAAATGATTGTATGATTTACAAGTCCTCAATTCCGGTAAATGTTAAGCTACCCGAAATTTTTTTATAAAGTTTACCAATATTTAACTATGAAGTAGTGTCACAACAAACATAATTAATGTTCATTACATAAATCATTATATTCAATTAGTTTATCGACATATCTAATTATTGAGACAAGAGACATACTTATATTGTATTGTATTGTATATTTATTGTATTGTATTGTATTTATATTATATTATTTCATAATATATCATATGATATACTAATTTATATCATATCACATTACATTACATTATGTTATGTTATGTTATATATATTTTAATAATAGTAATAATAATAATGATAAATGATGATACTAATAATCTCATATTAAATCAGTCTTACCGAAACGAAACTGAAAGAAAGCTAGTATAGCATTCAAGCATACCTGAGTACATACTTTATTTACCATTTAGACACGTGTATGCTACATATACTAACACATTTCATATAAAACATGTGAAATGCAGATGATATAAATAATACTTCTTTTGATAATGTGATAATATAAAGTACATATCAAAGTAACATACACCGTTATAAGAATAGATCTAATTTAATGATCTTACTTAACTCAAAGGAAAAAAACATAAAAAACACACAAAAAGGATTATCCATAACATTACAGTTACATGTAAATCATAGTATTTTACTGAAACCTTAAGCTTCCCGTTGTTTATCCTTGCATTAAACATAGAGGTTTTATTGATATATATTAACACCTTTTTGGTGCCATATAAATAACCTTTAGTCTTGCATTTTCTTTATCGTGATCGGTCTATTATGACTTTATTAACCGTCGAGTGCCTTTCAGGAGACAATATGTTGACGGCATTAAGCGTTGCACGGGAATGTGGTTTTGTTAAACCAACTGAACCTATCGTACTCGTGCAAGCGTTTCCCGTGCAAACTGACCAGTATGGTAATGAGGTATCTGCCCCGCACGTGGAATATGTCTATACGGAGACACAAGAAGAGCGGGAAGTTTTATCGAAAGAAAAAAGTCAAACGTTCCAAGGAAGTCAGGTACTTAATTCATATGTTTTAAATCTGGTGATGTAGTTATTACTATTTACGTGTAATATATGATTATATCAAATGAATTCGATCGTTGCAATACAGTATTTAACCATTATGAAAATGTTTTTCTTTGTATGATACACTTTTTATATAAATATGGCCCAATTAACGGTATTTTAAACGATTTGTCAACGCTTTTTTGGACATTTTCGAGTCGAGAAGTTATAACTATGTAGTAAAGATAAATCTTATGAACACTAGATTTCATTTCAAATAGGCTTTGTTAAATTTGTATCAGAAAATGTACTAAAGCTTGCTAAAGATCTATAAGAACATAAGTTATATAGCACTTTTTGACATGTTACATTGCCAAATACCAACGGTTTTTGATATAAACTTATCCGCCAGACAAAATAATTCAGTGTGTTTCTATAGTTAAATATTTAATCTCCATCTATCAAAATAGAATTTATATGTAAAAGATGAAAATAACATTTCTATATGTTTCTGTCTATTTGATCGAATAGAATGGCAAATCTTTAGATGTAGAAGTAGGCAAGAAAGAGCGGTATCATTTTGCAGTGACAGGGAAATCATGGTCTGTACTTAGACAGTACTATCCCGATCTTATACAGAAGGTAACTTGTTCACTTTCATACAAATAACCCGTAAATATGTGTATCTTATGTTAAAATGTTTATTTATATTTTTATAACGAAATTGATATTCAAACTGGTAAAATAACTGGCATGCTTTAGAAAATATACATTTGGATCAACTACACAAAATAGGTAATTGAAATGTGTATTTCTGATTTGACGGGTACGCATGTGTGAAATCATCGCTAAGCCAAACGAATATAATGTTAGGGGACGTTTTATTCCATTTTTTATCATACATGCCCATTAAATAACGGAAATTATCATAGTTTTTGTCCATTTTTAGAGTATTTTGTGCCAGGTCAAGTTTTACATTCTCTATTACATGTGGAATTAATTTGATTTTCCCATCAAAGCTATACCACAATGGTATCATTTCTTTATCAAACAATTAAATGCATCTTAACCAGTTAATCCAACTTAAATTATCAAAATGAGTTCACGGTAATTCTGCACTGAATCTATGATGATTTGATATAAGAAATTTTCAACAAAATGTCTTCACCCATGGCCTGCTGCAGGTGGCAAGTAATTCTGACCATTGGGCCAGTGCAGACCAAGATCATCAGGCGCATCCGGCACTTGATCATCTTCTACCAGTCAGTATGCTTTTGTTTTTAATCCTAAAATGACGCATGCTTATGGTTTTATTGAAAGATATACAAATCCACTTATTTTTGAGCCTGGACAGGATAATGTACTACATTTTTTATTGTTTTGAAATATCCTGTATATTCTAGATTGTAGTTCGAGGGACAATATTCGCCAGAATGTCACCTGACCAGAAGGCTCAGCTTGTTGAACAGTTACAAGATTTAGGGTAAATTTTACTTATACAGACATTTTAATTGCGACATACTTGAGCTATATGATACAAGTCTTAACTCTTTTATTTTATATAATAAAAGTAAATTGCTCCACTAAAACAATGTGAACGTGCCTTCTTTGTACTTTTAGGAATTTCTTTTTCAATGATAAAAAAACTTGGATTCTTCCAAATATTAAGTTAACTGTACCTTATGAAAATGACAAAAAGCTTTATAAAAAAAAAAAAACAAAAAAACAAACAAAAAAAAAAACCAGAAATATAAAGGATTGAATGAGCAATTTTCAGTGAACGGTAACCCTTAATCTGCTGAGATCAAAAGTGATTAGCTTTTGCCATAAGGATATAGCCGAATTAACCTGCATATCCGTTTCTGTAGAATCTGGACACATCCGTTCATGTTACCAGACTCGTCACCGTTTGTTCCTCAATGTTATTTTTGTATCATGTAACAGAAATCCTTAAATAAATTGAATGCTCCAAAGAAAGGCAAATCCATCATCAATTAAATCAACAAGTAAATGGGTAAATAAATGTTTATTGTTTACATGGTGTAATCTATATTCAGATATTACGTAGGAATGTGTGGAGACGGAGCCAATGATTGTGGTGCGCTGAAGACAGCCCATGCTGGTATCTCTCTGTCTGAAGCGGAGGCGTCTGTTGCTTCACCTTTCACATCTAAAACACCAGATATTTCATGTGTTCCCACTACAATAAGGTATGCAAATTATTGTATTTCATGTTTAAGAAAAGACAATGCATCTTAAACAAAAGTCAAAGCCTTTCTAGAGTTGATCTTCATAATGATTCATTATTAGATGCCAAGGTGTTTTATGAAGTGAAAGTCAAAAAAACAAATATCACTCTTTCAATCTTATTTTTGATGAATCATAAATTTATTGCATAAAGCAATAGAGCCTCTACAAATGTTGACGAAACATTACTTTATAATTCATAATGCTTTAACCATGTTTCTCATATAAGCATTAATGGATTTTTTTATTATGCTGCCGTAAATTTCTGTTTGTCACCACAATTGATTTTCAGCAGTAGCCCCTTTTTGTAAACACCTTGCTTTATGGTTAATAAACATACTTTTTTATCTATTGTCGGTATTTGCCGGACTAATATTCATATTAAAGCTATGTCATAACAAAACATCAGATAAAAACATGATGTATATTGAAATAAAGTATGTTTTAACAAGGTTACTAAGACTGATAGTCTTTTTAAAATATGCTACTTACATGCACTACGCTAATTCTTATTATTTCTCTACGCGGTTACATACCAAAATTCTATAGATATAGTTCACTTATCTTACTTTAATTACTTTTACAGTCATCAGAATGCGTCTGTAGTACTACAAACATATATGGTAACATGTGAACATTTTTATATGATGCTTGCACTGACGTTATAAATAATTATTGTACAATATAACAATTTCAGAGAGGGCGAGCCCGCGTTGATACAAGTTTTGGTTATTTAATACATGGCTTTTTAAAGTTCACACATTTAATCTGTTTTCATTCTGTACTGGTATGTATGGCAAATTAATGTTAAATTTGTCTACTTTATTAAATTTTTAAACTTTTTTACTATTTAAAAGGGTTTTCCCGTTTTACAATTTGTTTAAGGTTTTATTAACAAATAACAAAAAAACAAAAAAAACGATTTTTTTCCCGGAATAAAAAATTTTTTTGGGGTTTCTTTCATTCTTTGGGGTTTTTTTTTTCTCTAA